TAAGATTACAAAATATAAGCGTACCACATAAAATTTATTTAACCATTATTTTTTTGGAATATTCCCAATAATATAATATCAATAAATTCTGAAATAATTTCTCAGAAATTTCGAAATTTTCAAGACCTCCAGAATGGGATGGCGGGCGCGCATATCCTCCGCAAACTTATCGTCGTAGTAGTCAGTCGGAGGCTCCTCGATCATCTTGTCAATGTCCCAGCTCTCCACTATGTGGTAGCTCGGACAGCGCGCCGTGTCGACCGCGTCTGCCGGACGAACCGCACTGCTCGTCCTTTTCGGCAATGGTCGAACCTTCCAACCAAGAAATCAAGAAATTCTTTCTTGATTTTATCTAAAGAAATCGAATTCAAGAGATTAAAAGAATGAAATTTCATTTTTATCGAATAAAATGAATGGTTTTATTTCCAAATTCTCAAATTCGGATGCTAGCAAATGAAATCAAAAAGATCTTCATTATATATGTATATATATATATATTCTCTCTCTTGAAAAAAATGAAATTCTCTAATCAAATGACCTCAATTCCCCAATCCCAAAAAATGAGAACGATCGGGGCCCAAATCTCATATCCTCAACCCTGAAAAGTCCTGACATCAGACTTGCAACTGCAACAGTCAAGAAATCACCAAGAAGGTGCATTTTGCCTCCGCTAACAGGAATGTCTATTTGCAGCCACACTAGCTTCTCACTTTCATGAACCTGAGTTCCCCAAACGCTCAAGGTCCTCAGGTTTAGGGCTTAAGGTTTTGAGGGTAGGTTAAATTCACGGCTTGGCATTTTACATCTTCAGTCAAACCGAACGACGCCAATGTCACGTATGACCTGGCAGAAAGCCAGGCCTAAACTCCTGCGTGGCACAGTCGCCAACCACAGAAAACCCTTGCAAACTCCAAATCCCAAAGCCCTAAACCTACACATGAATCTCAACCATTGTAAGCAAACTCCAAACGCTAGGATTCGAGATGCTACACCTTGACTTGCCAGCGCCGACTTTCTGCTAAATCGCCAGGTGCAGCAGCTGCTCAGCATCCGGCAACAGCTTACGGATATAACCGACATGTGAAGTCTGAGTCGTTTGCCTTCTCTCAGTTGGCAAAACACGAGGCCTTCTAAACACGATTGTTTTTTTCGTTCCAACGCGTTGTGAAAACAAGGCTTAAGAAGTCAACAAATCTGCTTGAAATGGGCTACAGGCGAGTTTCAAAGCGGGGGGGAGGGGGGCCCGGGCTGGGTAGAGTTTCAAATCGGGCTTGGGAATCTGGGTCGAGGACGGCCCTTTAAACAAAAGCCGTTTTGAGGAGGGCCTCTGTGTGTCTCTCTCTCTCTCTCTCTCTCTGCACGCTTGGCCCCCTCCCGAAGATGGGGCGACAGACTACACCCGAAATCCTAAGCCCTCAAAACAAACCCTAAATCCTAAACCTGAAATCTTGCCCAGGCCCAGACTCTGTCAAGGCTTCGTAAGCCTCTGCATGTGGCAGTGAGAGAGGTTATATATAGATATATACATCTATGTATATGTATGTATGTATGTATGTATGTATGTATGTATGTATGTATGTATGAATGGGGTTTCCTATAATAGGGGTACGTAGTAGAACCTCCTTCTGACAGGACCTTTAGGAGGGTACCCTATTATCGTCAACCCCCATATATATATATATATATAGGTATGTATGTATATATATATATATACATAGAGAGAGAGAGGGAGAGAATAAAGGTATAGGAAGTTCTTTCAGGTTAGGATCCCACAAGCAAGATTTTCTGAAAGTACCCAATTTACGGGTTCTGGCAGCCACGGGTCTATATCAAGCTACCATGTTGGTGCCATTTAAGATACAGACGCTTCCTTGGGGTTTGAGTACCCAGAAGACCCTGATTCAGGGTTCAGGGTTTAGTGGATGACAGCCCTGGTGTTGCTAGAGGCTTCGAGTAGGAGTTGAGGGCTTCAAAACATGTACTTTTCCAGATATCCCAACGGCCACGCTGAGTCTTTCTTGCACAGAAAAGACCGGGCTTAGCCCTAAACCCTATAGGGTTAGGGTTTATAGAAATTGTATAGGGTTTGGGTCCCAATAAGTTTTGAGCGAAACGTTTTGAGCGAAAGTTTTTTTTTAGATATTAGGTTTAGGTTTTGGGCTCTGGGAGCCAATTTTGGGCTCCGGTTGGGAGGCAAATTTTGGGCTTTGGAGGCCAATTTGGGCCAATTTTGGGCTCTGGGAGCCAATTTTGGGCTCCGGAAGCCAATTTTGGGGTTGGGAGGCAAATTTTTTGGTCTTTGGTGCCAATTTTGGGCTTGGGGGGCCAATTTTTTGTGGAGCCAATTTTGGGCTCTGGGAGCCAATTTGGGCTCCGGAAGCCAATTTTGGGCTTTGGGGGCCATTTTGGGCTTTGGAGCCAATTTTGGGCTCTGGAACAATTTTGGGCTCCTGAAGCCAATTTTCGGCTTGGGGAGCAAATTTCGGGCTTTGAGGGCCTATTTTGGGCATTGGAAGCCAATTTGTGGTTTTGACCCGGGAAGGCACCCCGGGAAGGCCCCAGAGGTTTAAGTAAATTGAACATGTGGCCTCCCGCTTTAGATCAATTTATTTAAACTCTGTTTGTCAGCTGTTTAGACAAATATCTTGGAAAATTCAGAATGATACCACATACAATTTCTATTTATTTTGTCTTGAGGGTTTAGGGTTTAGGGTTTAGGGTTTAAGGTTTAGGGTTTAGGGTTTAGGGTTTACCCACCCCAACAAGCTCTGAATCGGCCCGTAATCCTGAGCCCCCCCCCCCCCCCCCCCCCTTCTTTAGGGTTTAGGGTTTAGGGTTTAGGGTTTTAAAGCAAAAGCCGAAAACCCTAAATCCCCCAAGCCTCGAAGCCCTACCAAGAAGGCTATAAACAAATACCAAGACCTCCCCAAAAATCCTAAAGCCCTAAACCCCTAAATAGACCCAAAGAGCCCAATGCCCCTCAAATAAGGAAGAGACCTTAAATCCTACTAAGGGTCCCTATATACTACAAGGTATATTCCCCCAAACCCTAAACCCACAACCCCAAACGCGAAACCCAAACCCCAAACCCTACACCCTAAGCCCTAAACCCTCAAGACAAAATACATAGCAATTGTATGTGATACCATTCTGAACTACTTCCCATATTCTTTGTGAAAACCTCTGACAAGCCGAGTTTAAGCAAGGAACTCCAAATCGTTTCCTGCAAGCAAAATCTTCAATTCACTTCAAGTCATTCAAACCCCCCCAGACACCCAATCCAAATCCTTCCCAGAGAAAAATTCCAAAGTCCCCCCCCCCTCCCCAGATCCCCACCCTAAACGCCCTAAACCCTAAACCCTAAACTCTAAACCCTAAACCCTAATCTTAAACCCTAAACCCAGATCGATCCGCCCACCCTCACCCCCTCCTAAATCGGCCACCCCGCCCCACCGCCCCCCTCTTCAGGAAAGAGAAGTGAACCTAGGTTACAAAAGTCAAAACTTTCGTTCAAAACATTTTGGGACCCAAACGCTCTACAATTTCTATGAACCCTACACCCTACACCCTACACCCTACACCCTAAACCCTAAACCCCAAACCCTAAACCCTAACCCCCCCCCCCCCCCCCCCCCAAAAAAAAAAAGAAGGCCTGGCCTCGGAGACTTCCCGGAACCGGCGTGCGGCCGCCTCCGCGGCGGCGCCCGGGTTCTTGTCCGGGTGGTACTGCCTTGCGGTTTGAGGTTTAGGGTTTAGGGTTTGGGGTTTGGGGGTTTAGGGTTTAGGGTTTCGGGTTGAAGGTCTAGGCTTTAGGGTTTAGAGTTTATTTAGAGGTCTTAAGACGCAAACCCTCTGAAAAGGAAGCCTCAAACACTAAAACCCTGAACCCTAACCTTCTTGAAGCCACCAACATCAAATACCACACGAGCCTTAGTTTTGACGGGGGCATAGCGCTTTGAGGGTTTGGGGGGCCAAGGGTTCGGGGTTTATGGGTTTAGGGTTGGGGGTTTAGAATTTGGGGGTTTAGAATTTCGGGGTTTAGGGGGTTCAGGGGATTAATTCGGGCTGAGGGATGCTTCAGGGTTTGGGGGCTTAAGGCTCAAAGCCTCGCTCGTGTGAAGTTTAGTGGCTTGCGGCTCGGGTTGAGGCATCGAGGGGTTGAGGCTCTGGCCTTCCAGGGAGTGCTCTGAGCCCCTAAACCCTAAACCCTAAACCCTAACACCCTTACATTCTTACACCCTTAACCCCTACACTAATCTGACCCATCTGACATACCACCACTCCTGCATCATGGATCTCGACTTCATTTTTCGAATTGTTTGTAGTTTAGGGGATATTTGATTTGAACGAATGGAGGAATTGGATATAAGATTCAATCTTTGACTATCTATATTTTAGAGTGGTGAAAGAAACATAAATTTTCTTTCGGACTTAGGACTTAGGGTTCAGGGTTTAACCCTAAACCCTAAACCCTAAACCCGAAACCCTAAACCCTAAACCCCTTCGGGGCCGAGGGCAGTACCTTGAGGGGGTCGGGCATGGATCAGGGCTTTCGGGTTTTAGGGGTTTTCGGTGTTTTTAGGGGTGTTTAGGGTTTTTTTTTTATAGGGGTTGTTAGGGGTTTAGGGTTTTTAGGGATTTTTAGGGGGTTTTTGGGTGTTTTTTAAGGGTTTTAGGGGTTTTTTAAAGGGTTTTTAGGGGTTTTTTGGTGGGTTTAGGGCTTGCTTGGAAGCCCTTTTGACTTAGTAAGTAGGGTTAGTATGGGCTATGGGGATTATAAGAGGGTTTCCAGGGGATACTAAGTAGACTTACTAAGTCAAAAGAGCTTCCAAGTAGGGTAATTGAGTTCCAGGCAGGACCAACTTGCGATAGGAGCCTGAGCGGTTCGTGTTGCGGGCTTTCATGTTTACGAGGGGTTGTGGATCTTGTTTGTCCAGTTTCCCTAAACCCTAAAACCTAAACCCTACACCCTAAACCTCCAGTTTCCTAATGGCTGACCATTTGGGAGTGCATAGTTTCTTACGAGCCAAAGAAGCTGTCACCCCGTCGACTACGCAGGGCTTACAGTTCAGGGTTCAGCTGCGTAGATGCCCCAGAGCCCAGAGCCCGTAAATGACAAAATATACCTTAAATCAGGTGGAGGATCCCTAAATCCTTGCCTAAACCCTAAACCCTAAACCCTAAACCCTAAACCCTAAACCCTATTTGGCACTCGGGTGTGGCGTGAGTTGGAGCTAGTGGGATCTTTTTGAGTCTGGGGACAGTGGCTTAGAGGCTTTCGGGCCTCGGGTTTAGGGTTTAGGGTTTAGGGTTTGGGGTTTAGGGTTTAGGGTTTGGCGTTTAGGGTTTAGGTGGGCAGGCGTACCAGAGAGCCCAATACCCCTCATGTAAGGAAAATACCGTAAATTAGTTAGGGGTCCTAACGTTTGACTTAAGGGGTCTTCCTCGTTTAAGGGGTATTGGATTCTTTGGGGTTTAGGGGTTTCGGGTTTGGAGATTTAGGGTTGATGGAGCAGGAGGTCGATTTGCGTTGCCTGCAGCGCGCTGCTGCCGGAAAAAGGAGTTTTCGAATCCAGAGCCCTAAGCCCCAAACCGACAACACACAACAACCTAAAGGACTTCCAATGACGCTAAGCCTAACGGACTTCCTGAAAGGATGGGCTTCCGGATCCGCAGGTAGTCGGGTGGCGTCGGAGCATTGTTTAGGGTCAAGAACCCTAAACCCTAAACCCTAAACTCTAAACCCTAAACCCTAAACCCAAAAACCATAAGGGTCTTGGGATGGTCTGCAACAAAAATCTGCCAGCAACTTAAACGATGGGCATCATATATGTCATAATACCACACCCATCTCAGTACTATGGTTTAGGGTTTTGGGTTCAACATAAAAACTATATTTAAACCTGCTTTCAATCAAACTCATACTTAGATAGATGTTCATGCTGCACTTTCAGCTGCCAGTCCTTCAGATTCAAAATGCCCATATGTTCCAACTACCGTTCATATACTCTGCATGTGTACTCGAGTATGAATCAGCCGTAAACCCTAGACCCTAAACCCTAAACGTACAGTAGTATTATAAACCCTCAAACGTCCTAAGCTCTGCGCGCTTCAGTTCCTCGTGGCCCGCATTGGGCTCCAAGCCCAGCCTCAGAGCGAGAAAGGCTCGGAGAGTAACATTGACACATACCCAGAGAGCCCAATACCCCTTAATTAAGGAAAATTCTTTAAATTATACAGGGATCCTTATTATGATTTGAGGTACATTCCATAATTAAGGGGTGTTGGGCTTTTTGGGTGCACGTACACACTGACACTGACACTAACACAAACACCCACACCCACACCCACACCCACACCCACACCCGCACGCACACGCACACGCACACGCACACATTGACACATACACATACACATAATTACACACTTGCACACTGCAATCATCCCGGAAACAACTGCCTCGACGGACTGGGGCCCCGGCGTTTGAAAGTGGACAGCCATTTTGCGAAGCCTTACTTGGGGTTCATGGTACTTATCAACAAATTATAACTGTACTTAGAAGGGTTCAGGGTTTAGGCCTTTAGGGTAACTGTACTTATAAGTGTACTTGTAACCATTTTAGGGCAATTAAGGGGCTTAATTAAAAGTCGGTTATAAGTACGGTTCTCATTGGTTAAGAAGTACCATGAACCTCCAAGCTACTGTGTGGCCGAGCTTCACTCAGACATCAACAGTGGAGGCTTCGATGCTACAAGCCAAACCCCGAATTTTAACCCCATACTTGTCGGGTGCATGGTGGTCCATCCATACTACGAGCCCGTTTCGGGCGTCCATTTTCGTACCTTCACACTAATTTTTTGAATTTCAGGGGTATCAGAGAGGGGGCCGTAGTTCAGATCAGCCTCCACGTCATGTCCTACCACGAGGCAGAACTCAACGGCAAGCTGTACCACCCGTGCCATGAATCTGGAGCGTATCTGCAAGCCGGACTTCGCTTGAGATTCTGAGGGGATTCTGCTTGAAACCCTAGAATCCCTAGAACCGAAACCCCTAAAGCCTACAGCCCTACAGCCCTAACACCCTAAACCCCGAACGCCTGAGCCTCTACACCTCCACACCCCTAAACCCAACTTTCAAAGCCTCAAGTCGTGAGCCCCCTTAAACCCTGAACCCTAAACCCTGAACCCTCATTCAACCCTAAAGCGTACAACCTGGGCCCGCCGCTTCTCACTGGAGGGGCCTTTCGCACCAAGATTACCGCTTGCGGCCTCCTCGAAACGAGCTTAGGGTGTAGGGTTTAGTGTTTCAGCGTTTGGGGTTTGGACTTTTTGTGGTAATAACCTCTCTGTTGATGTGCGGGTTTCGGGGTTTGGGTCTTGGACCTGTAGCGCGTTCGGTGCGCTCCTTGAGACATGCAGTAACCGATCTTTTGGGACAGCTTCTGCTGACACTCTGCCAGGGTGTGTATGCGCCGAAGCAGGGACCCCAAACCCTAAACCCTAAACCCTAAACCCTAAACCCTAAACCCTAAACCCTAAACCCTAAACCCTAAACCCTAAACCCTAAACCCTAAACCCTAAACCCTAACCCCTAAACCCTAAACCCCTGGGCCTTACCGGCTGCAGACTTCCAGAAGTCTTCTGACCTCGGTCTAGGTGTATGGATACTTGGAATGCCCAAAATGTGCAAGTAGGGTTTAGGGTTTAGGGTTTAGGGTTTAGGGTCTGGGGGATCAACTTTTTTAAGGTGGCCTTGCGAGGATTGACCAACAACATAGCACTGGCAAGAGCAAGAATACAAGGCTTTTAGACAAAGAGAGTCCTGACACGAGCTTGATGCATGAGGTCTAGGGTTTAGGGTTTAGGGTTTAGGGCTACTGTAGCCGGAGAACGTTGCGCCCCGCCTTTCCGGATCCTTTGGGGAGAATCTCGATCCGTTGCAACCCCGACGCTGACAGCAAGGTAGTCTGGGCGAGAGAGAAACCCGAAACCCTGAATCCCTAAATCCCAAGCCCTAAACCTTGGGTGGGTGATCATCAGAAACTGGTCTGATGATTTTCGATCGCCCCTAAGGTTGCTTCTTCACATAGCAGTGCGCATCAAAACTCAAGCATATCGCGACGTTTGGGATCATCATCGTTTAGATGACAAAGAATGCGCCATACGTACCCGTTGTAGGTCTTCATTGGTGGCAGTGCTCTTCTCTTGCAGTAGTCCTGCATGGCTGCGAGCACTTTGCGCGGTGGCTCGGATGTTGCATTCAAACAACCTGCCTTGACCAGAGCTGCGCGCGCCAAAGAATCGTCGGGTGGGGGCTGCCAGAAACCAGAGCTCAAGTTGGACAGGAAGGCTGTTTGGAACGCACTGTCCAACTCGAGAGAAGTGCTGCCCGTGTTTGGCATGCACCCCTCCCAAACCTCACGCAGTGTCTTCTTGTTGCTTGACATGTTTGCAAAGACGAGCATTGCCTCACGGATGTCCGTGTTCGATGCTGCATCTATATACCCGAGCTGTTGCAAAGCTTTCATGCTCAAATTGGAAGAGCTGCGTAACATGAACGGGCCAGTGCTTTGCGCCACTTTCCAAGCTGTCACCCCTCCGAACTTTTGCCGCTGTCTTGCTGATGGTGCTCCGCCTCCCCTCAGGGGAAAGAAGAAAGCCAGATTCATTGCTTCAGTGTGCCACAGGGGTCGAAGTAGTGGCAGTTTAGCATGAAGCTGAGAAATAGCGCAGTGTGTTGGAAAGATGCTGAGAGTTCCAAACGTGTTTGAAAACCAGCATTTAGCAACACAGGGGATGAGCTTGCAAGCATCTCCCTTGATCAGCCCGCCTTCCGTCAGCACCTGGCGCACATCCTCTGTTTCCTTCTCAGCCTTGTCCACGGGACAATGTGGTATGGGCGCGCAGGGCTGGATGTATCCACTGCCATCTTCATGGAGAAGTGCCTGAACCTGGGTCGTGACTTCAACATCAGTGCCTGGTACCTCTAAGGTTTCCACACCACCAGATCTATATCGCCATACAGTACTTCGCTTCCTCTGAGGGACGAGAATGGCCACTGACTTGCCACGGTTTCCTATACTTCGAGCATCCGCTAAGAAATCAGCGTCTGAGGTAAGCAAGACTATGCGGTCCACGTGTGATACTGTTGCCAGCGTGTGCATGCAGCTTTTGATCGCCTTGTCGACAGGATCTTCGTTCCCGCCCAGAGGTGACACAGCTTGGAAACGAACCTGCTGCTCCTTCATGTAGCGTGCCCACTTCTTGTTGGTTTGGCGACGAGGCTCGGCAAAAAAGGTGGTCTTCAATGGCTTGCCTTCAGACTGGAGCATCTGCAGAGCTGTGCCAATTTCCTCCACACTGTGAGTATCAGCATCAACCAAAAACTCCGTCCAAGCGGCACCTGTCTGAATTCGCCTGCACCAAGCAGTCTGGAACATCAATGGACTCTGCCGCCTGCTTGCTGGGTGTGCAAGGCGGCTAGCCAAAACTAGATATCTGGCCATGTCGAGTTTCCGTTTCGGCAGCTGCGCTTGAATATCTGCGATGATCCAGCAGCGCAATGCCTGGTATGCTGCCTTGGCCCTACAGTCTACAGTGGCCCCCTGCGAGCCCTAAGCTCCAGCACTGTAGCGGTGTTGAGCCCTCAACCCAGAACTCTTTCTATCTGCAGCAGTATCTAAGCAACCAACAATGCCTACAAATTAGAACAATGTGGGGTTTACAGAAAGACCGGACCCTAATTTTCCGCCCCAAATAGTAAGATTCCTTATAAGAAGGACCCCAATAAGGTACCCCTAATTTCGGAAAACCCTACACCCTAAACCCTAAACTTACCTAAACCCTAAACCCTAAACCCTAAACCCTAAACCCTAAACCCTAAACCCTAAACCCTAAACCCTAAACCCTAAACCCTAAACCCTAAACCCTAAACCCTAAACCACGTTGCACAAAAGCAGCCTTATCACCCAACCCAAGAACCCGAGGCTCTGACGCATCGTTGGCGTCATCGGGCGGCCTGGGCCAAGCCAATGGTTAAAATCAGACAGGCGGCTTAGGGGTTTGGGGGGTTTAGGGTTTAGGGTTTAGGGTTTAGGGTTTAGGGTTTAGGGTTTAGGGCTTAGGGTTTAGGGTTTGTTTGGGGGGTTGGGACTTAGAGTTTGGGGGTTGACGGGTTAGGAGAGTTTAAAGGTTTACAATTTAGAGCCAGGACATCTTGCTTGCAGGGCTCAAACACGAACCTTTTTCAGTCATCTGGGACTTGACTCAGCTGAGCACGACGCCGGTGCTACGACTCAAGGATTCGGGGATGAGATGGAAGTTGGCTGCACGGGTTAGGGTTGGGTTCAGGGGGATTCCAAGACAGAGGGCAGCAACAGGGCACGCTCATTGAGAAGAAGCCCTCAGATGTTGGGCTTCAAGCAGCTTCGGGATTCGCACCCTAAACCCTAAACTCTAAACCCTAAACCCTAGGCCCTAGGCCCTAGGCCCAAAACCCTAAACCCTAAACCCTAAACCCTAAACCCTAAACCCTAAACCCTAAACCCTAAGCCCTAAGCCCTAAACCCTAAATCCTGCATGCCATGTTTGGGGTGATCTTAACTTTGGGCCCATATTGGCCTATTCCTTAGGGTTTAGAGTACCAAAGGGGGCCACAGTAGATCCACACCCCCAAGGTACGTAAGTGAGATGTGCCATTCAGAATCCGTACAGCTCTCGACTGCAGGCGCTGGTCTTTGGGAAACTGCACCCTAGGGGTTGGGTGATTCACTGAGAAGTCCACACGCACCAACCGGATGTTTGCAGACGCAAAGACCTCTCTTTTCCACACACCCTGAGGCCTAAACCTCAGGGTAGTTACATGGCACCTTCGTAGGGGCCCTTTAAAGGGAACCCTTTCTTTACCTCTGATATAACGCCTAAACCCTATGAGCCCTGGACCCTAAGCTGTTCGTCTTGCCAAGTGGCGCCCATGTGCCGCAAATCAATGCCTTCAAAGCCTGTGTCAGAGCTTCTATCGTTACTAGCCTCGACGTGTGCATGCACTTACGAATAGATTATGCGACCGTAACTATGGGTTGGGATGTTCCCCCTTATACTAACAGTCCTTGATTATAGTACCCCTCTTAGTCCGTGTTAAGGACTGCACCATGGGGCTTCCGTAGGCTGTAGGTTTGTAAGGTTCGGTGAACGCATGTGGTATACACATGGGCCCTCAAGCTACTATGTCGGAAATGCTTTTATGGCGGAAGTATACTCTTTAGGCACATGGGCCGACCCTTTGGGAATCAAGCGAAGCCCTGATGTTGGTTTGCCACTTTTTCGGTCCCTACAGGGGAGGTTTAGGGTTTTGTTTTAGGGTTTAAGGGAGGTTCACCGGGGGTAGGTACCTAGGGAACCTTAGGCAAGCTTAGGGAGCCTTAGTGGGGAGTATTGGGGACCTTGGGTTACATGTTCCCGTTGAACCCCTACAAGGCAGGTACAGTCATGGAGGTGTTGATCGAGGGTGCGGGTCTTTTTACGGTGCCACATATAGTGCAGGCGTCATGACAAGGGCACCAGGAGAAAAACAACAAACAAACACATAGTCTAGCATGTGAATCAGCCCCATAGACTGGTACACTAGTTTAGGGTTTAGGGCTCAGGGTTTAGGATTTTGGGGTCCTAAACCCTAAACCCTAAACCCTAAACCCTTGAAGGGGAGGAGAACTGGGTGAGAAGGCAGCGCCTTGCCGAGTGCGGAATGTTCAACATCCAACATGCCCTCAAGCCTCAGGCCCGCCAGAATTAGACCCGTTAGGGTTTAGGGTTTAGGGTTTAGGGTTTAGGGTTTAGGGTTGAGGGTTGAGGGTTTAGGGTTGAGGGTTCAGGGTTTTGGGTAGCATTATGGGGGGAGAGTACTGGTAGTTCTGCAAGCTCCTGAACTAAAACCCACATCCCCTGTAGGCCCTATAACTCTTCCTGGCCTGCTCCCGGCTGCTCGTGCCCTGCTCCAGCCCGAGCTGTCGACACCTTGTCCCGAAAAAGTAGAGAGTTTAGGGTTTAGGGTTTAGGGTTTACGGTTTAGGGTTTAGGGTTTAGGGTTTAGTGATTAGGGTGTGAAGGTAGTGAATGCATTCGCGAAGCGAACGAATGCAATGCATGAGCGATGACTTATACTTACTGCGGGCACATTGCCCGTACGAAAATATTGAGGACTTTTGCACCACAGTTGGAAATCAAAGTAAGGAAGGAGTAAACGAGTGAGCCGGATGAACAAGCGAAATGAAGTGAATTCACGGTGCTCCTTCATTCCATATATGCACGTGAGAATAGTACTAAAAGACAATGTGGGGTTCAGGGTTTAGGGGTTCAGGGGTGCTTAGGGTTTTGGGTTTAGTTAGGGGAGTTTTGATTCAACTAAGAGTTTCTAACAAGAGCTTCTGGAAAGATGCCCTAAACCCTCAACCCTAAACCCTAAACCCTAAACCCTAAACCCTAAACCCTAAACCCTAATTCTAAACCCTAAACCCTAAGCCCTAAACCCTAAACCCTAAACCCCTCCTTCCCTAGCCGGAGACCCCCTTTTCCCCACAAGCTGAGTGCAATGGCTCGCGCTGAAGCTCGCCCAGGGGCAGCGCAGCCCACAGGGCAGCCTGCCTGCAGGTTCTATAGCGGTTCGCTGCCAAACAAAGGGGTCCTGTAGAAATAGAGTAGCTATCCTGGGCAGTTTGTATTCCAGATAGGGATTCTGCTTATAAGGGAATTGGAGGTTCAGGGTACTTATAACCCCAATTTCAGCCCCCTAAGTCCTGCAAGTAGCTTGGTAGCCCAGAAGCCATATCGTAATAAGGGCGTTGGTTGCTTTATAAGGGAACCTGGAAACGAAAGAAAGGGCGAAAGAATACCACTGGGCTACCAAGGTAGGCTAGAAGTAAACCCTGAACCCTAAACCCTAAAGCCTACACCCGAAACCCTACACCCTGCACCCTGAACCCTAAACCCTGCACCCTCCCTAAAGCCTGCACCCTGCACCCTAAACCCTAAACCCTAAACCCCCGATGCACAATTGGGGTTGTGAGTACCCATGAACCTCTAAGTAAGCCCCAAGAACAAGAGGAAACAGGGCCGACTTTGGGACCAAGCCAACTGAGTACTGTGTGAAGGTTTAGGATTTAGGGTTCTTTTTTCGGGTTTAGGGTTTAGGGTTTAGGGCTTAGGGCTTAGGGTTTAGGACAAATTTGGGGGGTGGGGCGGTCTGGGAGCTACGGTCAAGTCTCGCAGTTGTGGCTTAGGTTGTGCTGCTGAGTCGCAAACTGTAGTTTTACAAGGGTTGAGGGTTTAGGGTTTAGGGTTTAGGGTCTAGTTCTTGGGGCATGAGGTGGCCTTACAGTCCCTAGACCCGGGAGTAACCTAGGAATAACAGGGTGCACTTTCTTGGTTTCAAGGGTATTATAAGGGAACCCCATCCCTAAAAATTTGAAATGAGGGCCTACTCCCGGTCCGAGGTCCCCTTTGCATCGGGGATATAAGACATGTACTCTAGTAGGGAAATAGTAATGCTTCCCTAAACACGAACTAAGCGTAGACACTAACCCCAAAGCCCTAATCCCTGAACCCTTCCCACACGGAAAGATGCTGCTGCACAATCAACGCAGGAGATGTACCCTAAACCCTAGACCCTAAACCCTAAACCCTAAACCCAACAGCCTGACGCCTGGCACCCGTGTCATTGCTTTTTTGAGGGGAGCTTAGAGTTTAGGGATATTGGAGCCTCTGCCCGAAACCTGAACCCTGAACCCTGAACCCTGAACCCTGAACCCTGAACCCTGAACCCTGAACCCTGAACCCTGAACCCTGAACCCTGAACCCTAAACCCTAAACCCTAAACCCTAAACCCTAAACCCTCCCCTAAACCCAGCACCCCAAAAACCCCCCTAAACCCACCTACAAAACCCTCCGATATTCACTGCCTGAGTCGCGGAAGGAAGTCCAACACCTTGCGCTGGCTCACATTTTGAAGAAGCCCAACCGCAGAAGCCCAACCGCAGGGTTTAGGGTTTAGGGTTTAGGGTTTAGGGTTTAGGGTTTAGGGTTTAGGGTTTAGGATGTCAGGATTTAGGGCTTGGGGTTTAGGTTTTAGAGTTTAGATGGGGCTTAGGGCTTAGGGGGTTTCAGCAGTCCCTCTCACAACGCCAAGGGCTTGGATTGGATCGGGGGCTTCTTGGTTTTGCGGGACCGGCTTTTACAAGGCCCGCCTCTCAAAGGTCTCAACTGGTTGCATATTTCGGGTTCTGGGTTACTTGGTGGCCTTGTAACCATACCCTAATAAGGGCACCCTGAGGGGTTGGTTGCTTTATAAGGGAACCCAGAACCCAAAAAAAGGGTAAAGGTTACCACTGGGCTACCAAGCCTACGGGCCTATGGGTTTTTCGGCTTAGAGGGTTGGGGCTTGGCCTCCTTCGGAGTCTAGCTGTCCTTGACCAGGCCCTGCCATTAGTGCCTTCGAGCAGTACCCTAGCTCTAAACCCTAAACAATAGTGCAGCTCCCTGAGGCACCTTTGGTTGTGGGGCGCGCGTGGGGAGCCCGAGATCAGCGTACTGACGCCGCAGCTCCTCCATGCTTTGCGGATGGTTTGAGATGTGGGTTCAGGGTTTGGGGTTTAGGGCTGTTGGGGTTGGAGTGACGGATCTTGCTAGGCGTTGCGAGATTAGGGTGAGATTCCAGGTTTTAGGTTTTGGGGTTAGAAGGTCTGGACACATTCACACAAGGGCTTCTGATAGAACAAGGTACCTCATATCCCTTGAGCATATATGGATCCAAGGACTACATAGGGCGTTCCTCATCTCCTCATTCCCCACACGGTACGTCGAATACCTCTCAGTTTCGGGTGTGAGGTTTGGGGGTTTCTCCATAGCCGTTGTCCTTGGGCATGGGGAGCTCGAGTAGACTGGGGCATGAGTGTGGCCAGGAGAAGGAGTCTTGACTAGTCATGAGTCCAACTCATCCATCGAAAGTTCATCTGAGTGGGAGAGTCTTTCTAAGGGCAGTTACCTGGTCCCTGAATATGGGCCCTTAAACAGGGACCACTTCTATACCCCTTATACACCCTGTGCAAATTAAGGGCCCATACATCAGAACCCTTGAAAGAAGGTAAGGGACCATATAATGGGCCCATCAACCTACCCTTAGAGTCTTGGAAGTTTCAAGTTTGTAGTCTCTCGGACCTCGGATGTCAAGTGATCTTTTCTTAAACCAAAGAAATCGCGTGCGCGCCGCGCGCGAGAGCGCGGCAGGACCGTTGCATCAAGCCAAGCGGTAAAGCCGCTAGCAGCCAGACCAGCAGATCTGCCCATTCCTTTAGATCCGTGTCTACACCATAAACCCTAAATGGATGTGAGATGTTCAATCCTCCATGAGTATGTGCACAGGAGGGTTGAGGGTTTAGGTTTAGGGCTTAGAGGTTGAGTCGTGTAGTTCGGGTCTTAGGTTTGTCAGGCATGTTACGCAGACCTGCTGAGCGCGCCGGTGCATCACCACGCTCTTCTCCAGGCATACGAGAATGTGTTACGGGAGCCTGCATATTCATTGTAGACAGCGGATGCCGGAGAGATGCCATTTGACAAAAGTGGAGAACTTGCGGGAAAACTCTTGAGCAGGTCACACATGTTTTTTAGCTTTGTCTATGCCGCAGTTTGCAAAAACACCGGCCAGTCAGGGTTTAGGGTATAGGGTCTAGGGTCTAGGGTATAGGGGGTAGTCTGCCAAAACACCGGCCAAGCTAGCCCGAAACCCTGAACTCGAATTGATAACCTAACTTCTGCTAACCTACGATTTGCTTAAGAACCCCCCCCCCAAAAAAAAAAAAAAAAAGATAGTCCCTGTATTACCCTTATAAGGAAAATGTATTTTTTTTTTTGGGGGGGGGGGTTCTGAAGCAAATAGTAATAACTGGCAAAGGCAAGCCCTGACGTTCAGGAGCTTCCTCACACACATGCGACCCGGCCCTGGGGCATGGAAATTCGGACGAGCTCCTTGCTGAGAGCATCCCCCTAAACCCTGCAACCCGAAGCCCGAAACCCTAAACCCTAAACCCTAAATCCTTTTGGGCAGCCTGAATGGGGATCTTCGGCTTATGGGGATCTTGTAGGGCTCAGGGCTTCTGCCCAAAACCCTAGAGCCCAAATCCCTGAATCCCTAAACCCTATCCCTAAACCCTAAACCCTAGGTTTAGGGTTTAGGGTTTAGGGTTTAGGGTTTAGGGTTTAGGGCTTAGGGTTTGGGGTTTGGGGTTTGGGGTTTAGGGTTACACCTGCCACCCTAAATCCTAAGCCCCCTACACCCGAACCCCAAGTCCAAGTGAGCCATGAGACTTCCCCAAGGTAGCCTGTCAAGGTAAAGCACCAAAAAACCCTAACTAGACCCGGGGGAGTAGCCTAGGAATAAAAAAGGTACCCATTTTGGTTCTAAGGGGATTACAAGGGAGCCCCAACCCTATAAAAAAAGGGAAAAGGCCTACTCCCGGTCCCAGCTAAAGCGCTCTACACCAAACCCCAAGCTGTATGCGCTCAACCCGAAACCCTACACCCTAGATGATTTGGGCCCAGGGTCCCAGAACCCTCAGCCGCTTATAGGGTTTGAGGCTGTAGACTTTCAGGTTACCTAAACCAAAAGTCCCCGCATGAAGCGCCAGATGTGAATCAACTGCTTGTAATTTCAGAGCCCTGAGCTCAGGCTCTCGGCAAAAGCTGCCTGCACTCGAAACCGGGAATGCGAAACTTGTCGGGCCCTCAGACCATCGAGGGAACCCCGACGAAGCCCTGCGAAGCCAAGCTGAGGAGGATGGGCGATCGGAATTTGCTAATCAGACCTAAAAAATCTGAGGCTTTTCAGCCCCGCAACCGTATTATCATAAGGGCACCCGTTTTGGGGTTGGTTACTTTTCTTTTTATAGAAGGGAACCCGGAACCCAACAACAAAGGAAAAGGGTACCACGGAGCTGCCAGGAAAGCACGGAAAACCTCAACCTTGTCAGCCATGCCATGGGTATTTTTCGGGCTAAAAGTGGTCGCCGCATGGCTGACAAGGTTGAGGGTTCGAGGGTTTAGGGTCTAGGGAACTTGCATCCCGCTCGAGATGGCCCTGCTTGGGTACCGTGCTGATACAGGGCCAAATAAAAACGAGCACTTCAGGACCTAAAATAGACCCTAAAAGAACAGGATTCCCTTCTTATAACAACCCCAATAAGGTACCCAGATGTCGGAAAGACCCCATATGCCATATGCCAGCTCTCACGTACATGAAACCCATTGTTGCGTCCCCGGCTGTCTTTCACGAAGCCTTGAGAGGACAATGTCGTTCAGCAGTGTAATACGCCTGTTAAAATGACATGTGGTTTTATCATCGTCTTATGCTAGGTTGCCCAGAAACCTAGGCTTAAGAAGGGTGCCCTTTTTTGCTTAAAGGGGTTTATAAGGGAACCTAAACCCCCCAAAAAGGGAATAAGGGTACTACTGGGCATCCTAGTATGTAGGAGATCATGCTGGTAGTTATCTGGTGTTCTAGCTCGCCTGGATCCTCATGGCTGGGGAACCCACAGCCTAAGGCCCAAACTCAGATCAGCATGCTAGGGGAGACCCTGCAAACAACGCCCAACCCTGGCAATTCTTGCAAATACAAAGGGGACAACCAGGTCGAGCTCATCCCTGCGACGTCACCTGTAGAGATAGTAGCTCTTGGCTGAAAGAGTCTCCTGGCTGCTGCCCTTGCCAACCAACCAGTTCTTTCGACCTCCCCTAACACTCCAATCCAGAAAACTAATCCTGAACCCTAAACCCTAAACCGTAATCCCATGCCATGTCGGAGGGCCTCTCAAGCCATGTGCATGCCGCCGTTGACGTGCAGCGTGTGGCCAGTAATCTGGGATACAAAACCGGAGGACGTGTTTGTTGCATCTCATGGCCTTGCTCTGGAATGGACCAACCCTAAACCCTGAACCCTAAACCCCAAACCCTAAACCCTAATCTAAAGGGATTTAGGGGCCATTTAGGGGTTTAGGGTTTCGGGTTTAGGGTTTCGGGTTTAGGGCTTAGGGTTTGGGGTTTGGGGCTTAGGGTTTAGGAAGCCAGGCGCAAAAGGATCCAATTGCGTGCTTGCTTGGATGATGCAACGCCAGATTTGTCCCTGAACCCTAGATCCTCAACCCTGAACCCTAATTCCGCAACCCTAAGCCCTCGACATGTCGCGCGTGGGCTGCATATCCGAATGTGCCCCCCACATCATTTCAGCTGAGACCCTGAAGCCCTAAAGCGCTGAAGCACCCCACAAAAGCCTGAACCCTGTTAAGTACCCCCAAGAGCACAATACACCTTCAAGAAGGAACATACCTTAACTCATATTCAGGATCCCTGCTAGTTTGAGTTCCTTGATCAAGCGGGGTATTGGGGTTTGGGGTTTACACAGGGGTTGCGGCATAGCTTAGGAAACTGAATGTTTTGGGGCACGCCGAACCTGCCACCCCAGGATCTTCAATCAAACCCGAAACCCTAAACCCTGAGGGTTTAGGGTTCAGGGTTTAGACAGTTTGGAACCTAAACACCAAACCCTGAACCCTTGAACGGGCGCCCCGGCATAGCCAGCAGCGGGCGATGCCAAGAACAGGACCTCAGTTTCAGGGCTATACAGGGTTTTAGGGTTGTACAGCGTCTTTAGGGTTTTGGGGCTATTCAGGGTTTCAGGTTTACGGCCCAGTATCCCTGTATTGGTGCTCAAAGCATATTGAAGGTTCGCCCAGGCAGGGTTGCTGAAGTTGAGGGTTTAGGGCCTAGCCCTAAACACGAAGCCCTTAGAGTGCAGCTTGACTTTTGGGGGGGCGGGGGGGGTTTCAGCTCCTTGCGAAGGGTTCACGCTTAGGGTTTAGGGTTTAGGTTTAGGGCCTCCCCACTCCCCCGCACACCTCGCCCCCCCAGCCCCCAGAATTGCAAACCCTAAAACGCGCCTCAAAAGGCCCCTAATCCCACAACCTGAAGCCAGCCCTGCCACTCTTTGTTACTCTAAGGGCAGTTACATGGTCCCTTCATATGGGGCCTTTGAAAGGGGAAACCCCAAAATACCCCTTTAAGGGAGGTCAGGGACCATACAAAGGGCCTTTAACTGCCCTTAGACTTACCCCAAAACCCCCAAAAAACCCCCCAAACCCTAAAACCCTAGTAGGCTAGGATGGCCCTGAACGTCCTCTGCAACAAAATAATCCTGAGCAGATGATCCTCTTCAACGCAATAAGGGAAAGCATATGTCCCAAGGGTCTACCCTGTAGGGTGTATAGGGCTTAGGATTGAGGGTTTTGGGTTGACACCCTAAACCCTAAACCCTAAACCCTAACCCCTAAACCCTAAACCCTAAACCCTAAACACTAAACCCTAAACCCTAAACCCGAAACCCTGGATTTTGAAGGATTCTCCGGCATGAGATGGCGGCTGCATCCGCGATCTCGCCGGGGTCTCCCAATCGCTTCACCTGGAGACTCTTGCTTGAAACCCTGTAGGGTTTAGGGTTTAGGGTTTAGGGTTTAGGGTTTAGGGTTTAGGGTTTAGGGTTTAGGGTTTAGGGTTTAGGG